GAATGTACTCCGTCCACGGTCCGACTTTGGAAATGATTATGCATACAATGGACTCCGAACAAGATGCTTTCCTCTAAGTCTTCCTTCCAATATGACCGAGTTGCGAAAACAAAGTCAAACAACTTCTATACAATGAAAGGAGACTGCGACCACACAAAATGCCACATCATCTTGGTCTTCATGCCTTTAAATATAATTATATAAAATTTAACAAAGACAAAAATGGTGAGGGTTATAATTTGGCTGCAGTCTCCTTCAACCGTTGAGGGCAGTGGCTTGACATCAATTCCGCAACCTGGTTGTGTAGCCAAGTTGGCTTCGACGAATGTAGCTTGTCCAGAATCTTGTTTAGTGATGACCATGATAAATTACAACATCCGATCGTGGACTTAGTACGTTTACAGAAGTATTGTCGGCATGATAGTCGACATCAACAGTGAGCCTTGTGAAACTAAAATGGGTCGCAGAGAAAGGGATGATCGCAAATAAGGAAAAGACGATTGTAATGAGGCTTAGCACACCAAGGAATAGGGATTAGGATAGTCACAGTCGTCAGGAATTTGCGATTATGGATAGCGGAGTGAATCCAGTTGCACTACAACTCAACTCGGGAGATGTATTGTACACCAAAAATATAGGTTTTCAGTTGGTCCGGAGAACATGGGTAAAATTGTAGTGGTACGCAAAGAAAGTACTTGATCATTATATTTACCAAACCAGTAGACATGTCGTATTAAGATAATGAGAAACAGTTAAGTTAGGCAATAGCAGTATGGCGATGCCAGCAAAATTATAAATAAGAACTTTAGAGATATGTTTGGAAAAGTTAAGGTATACATAATATCAAACGTTTGAGGGAGATGCAAAAAGACTCCCGAGTGCATAAAGCTGGGATTAATCAGCCACCCAGTAAAATAAGGAAATGTCTTAGCGAAATAAGATAGATTTAGAATTAAGTTGCCTGAAGTGGTATATGGTTTCAATGGGCTTAATCGGATACGCAATTCAGGCACATAAGAACGAGAGAGAACTATATATGTGATAACTCTCCAGTAAATTTACTCAAAAATTTAAGCCGTTAGAGTAGCATAGTGTGCAAGTTAGAAGCTGAGAGAGAAAGGAGTAAAGTGGAAGGAACCAGGAGAGCTAGAAAATTTCAGCAAAAAGTTAGTCAAGGGATAGACTCCATTTGTATCTTTGGCTAGATTTTGTTTGATGCTAAGAATGGCAGGGCCAAATGAAGATTTCGACTAAAGGTTTGGGAAGGTATCATGCCCAAAGTTCGACATTGGAAATTATCATGATCACTTAGCAGGGGACTCTGGGCAAGATGCCTTCATCCAGATCGCCATGATAGCAAAGCAAAGCTACACAATTTTGATGAAATTAAAAATTATAATTCTATATTAAAAATCTAAATATATATATATGGAACATACCGGGAGGAAATCGATTGCGTCAGCACCTGAACAAGGGCGGATCGAGCCAGATTCAGTTGCAGCATTAGAGAATCAAACATATTTTTAAGCTGGTCAAGCAGAACATTAGCGCTTGCAAACAGAGAGGATCGTGAAGGGTTAACGTAAAGAGGTATTCCAAGCGCCAAAGCTAGCTGCCATGAAGGTGGGTTATCTGCGCAAATATTACCTGAAATATTATTTAACATAGCAGATCGGCCGAAATAGGAACCTAGATGCACCCGGGCCCGACTCAATCCACAATCGACTCGCACTGAGAAAGTGATTCGAAGTTTAGTAAAAGCAATTGGGGGCCAGAGGTCGCGTAATACAATAGCAGCTCGGTGAATGTCTGTTGCTAGTACCACTATTTGCGACGTATAACGATTGGCTGAAATCGAGACGAAATCTGCATGACCACTCAGGGGATGATGTGCTGCCGATCCTATCGTAGATAGAGAATCAAGCAGCTCTGGCGATCCATATCTGTGGTGCAACCCATTACTTGACGAACAACACTCTATCTGAAAGTTGCTCCAATAGTGAGAGACGGCTGCTTCATCAAGGAGGGCCTCGATGCAGAGACAAGCAAGAATAGGACAGGGAGGAATCACTATATCGGTAAGTAGATGAATGGAGGGGCAATTCGAACTATTAGAAGTAGAACCGGGAAGATGTCCAGTAAAGGAAAGTAAGGAAGATGCCAATTGGTTCTGGTTGAAGCCAAATGTCACGGTAGGGTGAGCACCTGGGTGCATTCGGTTGATGACGAGATGGTAGGCCTCAGCAGGATATGCAAGATGGCGAGTTGCCTCGACAGCCTGCAAGTAAAGTGAGGGTAGGCAGCCAGTGTGACTAGATTTTGCAGGAGTAGCTCGACTGGCTGGAATATAAGGAGAAGGAGCAAGGTGACCTGTGACTGTGAAAGGACAAAAGGCAAAACAAAATATAACTTGATCCATTCACCTACTATAAATCTTCTAATGTCAGATTAGCAGTTAAGAGTTGAAGTAAAGCCACTCATAATTTAATAGAAATTTCCATTGTAGATGAGTAGATGTATGGAGCGCGTGGCCTGTCCAAAATGGAGAAATGGCAAGATTCTTTAAAGTGACATTGCCAAAAAAGGAAGCCAGTTTTTTTTTGGAATGACAGGGCAGGAAAGTCACCTATGAAAAAAAGGTAAAAGCTCCTGGAAGAGTTGAATAAATTAGCCTGTTTGAGGTTCAAACAGATAAAATAGGCAAAATATTTTTTTTCGTTACGAGTAGGTTTTCTAAACCACCAGTAAATCAGATATATGAGCTGTGTTGACACATACTTGCCCAAAAGGTATTTTCACCCAGGGTAGACTGCAGAATCTGGTATAGGGAAATACCCGGCCTTCCTTAAAATTCGCATCTGCCCCTGTGAGGCAAGGGCGCAGGTGGCAATGTGGCGTAGTCGTTAACGTGTCGCGATTATACAATGCACCGTCATAGATCAGGTCCAGATGCAGATGTGATAAGACTTAAGCGAGGACTCATACTGTGAAAACACAAGGAAAGATAAGATTAGAGAGGCCAATGATATTCCTGGGAAAAAAACCTAATGAACAGGAGATTGGAGGAAGGCAGAGTTAGCGATAACTTTGCATACTGCTTAAGAAAACTCCGGGAAAACAAGAATACAACAAGACCAGCAAAAAGGAGATGACTGGATCAAGAGGAAAAAGGATCGCCAGCAGAAAGGCGGAAGGGGAATTCAGGAAATTCAGTGAGGACTTTCTCAGTGAGTGAAGTCTGTCCAAAAAAGCCAGTAGAATTTTGGGGCTCTGGCGGTCACAGAACTAGGGAGAAAGATAGGCAAAACCGTCAGAGAAATTCAGTATTATGGTCAAAATGTACTAGAACTCCACTTGATAGGGATAGGCGTCCACAGTTTGCTCAGAAACGCGGGTTTAATGAAGGAGACGACCCATTAAAGCTAGGTCTAATAGCTTCAAGCATGGTAATCAGAGTCTAGGCATTCTGCTCGATGAGGCAGCAATGCATTTGCTTAAAAGGGGTTTGAGGAACAGTGCCTGGAGGTAAAAGTATACTGGGACTGGAAACGAGTGAAATCGGTCAATCAGAAAGATAAGAAACGAATCTATGAACAATGAGGAAGAACTGGATAGAAGGACCGAGTAGGATTAGTTGATAGAAGGAGAGTTGGGGCAAGGTAAAAAACAGGTGTGATAAGGCCACACTAAACTTGCCAAAAAAGAACACACAATTAGACGACTGGAATGTAAAAAAGTATAAAATTGCAATATTGCGGGAGCCTGATAAGACAGGAAGTAGATAATGGGCCATGACAGAAATAGGAGTGAAAGCACAACCGTTTCGGCAAAAAGTTTGGTCAAAGTAGTTACTTTAATTGAATATTTTATGAGTTGTAGCTTGGTGCTTAGAATGGCACGACTCACTGACGAAGCCGACTACGATGCTGGCAAAGCATTTAAGAATGTACCAAGTCCACGCTCTGAAGCTGGGAATTATGATAATTACCATAGCAGAGGACTTCGGACAAGGTGGATCAAATTAATCCGCCATGACAACAAGACCAGGTTGCGAAAACAAGGTCAATCCACTTCCATACAACGAAAGGAAACCTCGACTATACCAAGTATCACACCATCTTGGTCTTCCTATCTTCGACTTCATAAGTATATTTGCTTCCGCTCATAGATTAGAAAGTTGTTTGTATGAATATTGAGAGCAGCCATAACCTCTAGGTGGAAATCTTGGATCAAATAACTAAGAGGTAGACTTGTAATGTATGAAAAAATAAACATACTGATTATGCACCATTCATGTAAAAAATGCAAAAGACAAGTGATTTTTCTAATTACAAAGCAATGTTAACTGCAAACAATTTCTTCACTATATAGTGATTAAGGTGGGCTTTTAAAAGAGATCGTAATATGCTATGCACAAATATCATTTTCCATTCAAATCCAATTTGTAAGAGAAAATAAATAAAAAATAGTACAACACTATAATGATTAATCATGCAGCCAGAAAATTTTTTTGATTTTTGCAATATTCCTTTGATTATTCGACTCACTTACAAACTAGGTTATCAAAATAAAAATTATCATCTATATTTCATCTACCAACTATCCAGACAGCTCTCCTTAACAAAAAAGGGGATAAATTCATTCTTTAATCTTTTAATTTGTGTGAGTAGATTACAGTAAAAACGATGAAAAGTAAATTAAGTAATCCATATGGCTAGTACATGAAGTATGAATTATTAAATTATATAAAGCGGGAAAATAAATTTCAATGCTTAAAAAACAGGAAATAGTGAATCAAGCAGCCGTTATCAGGAAGTCACGGCTCATAATATCACAGTGCTGCCAATTTGTTGATTCATGATGAGAATGCAAGGAGTAGAATTTGTTCAGGTAATTTAATGATGAACTACTGATATGTGATAGAAATCCACACCTACGGTACATGTGTTTGGAACTCCAGTGGAAGACTAGGAAGTGATTCGTATCAGTTCCTAAGTGCCTCCAGCTGAATTGTGGTCCGATCACACCAAAAAGAAGTTCTTAACTGATTTAACCGGCTTCAGTTTAAGGTTGCAAAAAATCTGCGTCTAGCTAATATAAAACACTAGACCAGAAAATAGGAAAGTTAAGTAAAACTTCAGCCAAGAATAACCCTCTAATAAATGTAATTAAAAACCACTTAACACTAAGAAATATAATAATAAAGCAGCTATTCATGTGATGAAAAGTTGGGTTTCTAGGAAGCTACTGGTTTATTATTGTTGAGGTCACTTCCATTTCCAGTGGAAATGTTTGGCGAAGAAGGCCGATCCTACCAAAACACGACGGCTGATTCCTCTTGATAAGCTGCTGATTGACTTTGCTGAAACCCTCTCTTTGGCGCTGCTACCAAGACAATCTCCTTGGATTTCGGTTAAAACATGCTAAGCTTTCACTGATGTAAGCTTATAAGCGAAAAAAGTCAGGCTTTCGTCTGTCTTATGATGGATATGATCAGAGCAGGCTATCATTCAGACAACCATACTCAAGCTAACAATTAGAGAAAACAATATATTATAAGCAAAAGAGGGAGTTGGAAAGCTATACCAATTTCGTAACGTAATCACGTAAGCTTTGGAGAAAATATAGACGAAATACAAGGAATCATCTATGAAGAAAGGTTAACAAAATCCTCCGTTAATCTTCCTTTTAGAGAATGTTCGAATCACTTTATTAACTCAGATTGTTTTAAGACCTTTGACTCATGAGTTTGGGTATATGTAAAAGAAATCTGAAGATTCACAGGAGGTCGTCTGATTCAAAACTGTTAAACGTGATAAGGAGATCCACAGATCGATTCCAACTAAATATGATGGTTTTCCCCTTGGCCAG